AACATTTGAAAAGTGATACACTGTTTATAGTGAACCAACGCAAAATCCCATTTGAGACTAATAGCCCCTTTTGGACTAACAAGGAAATTTTTTATTTCTTTGAGGATCCTTATACTCCACACACAATGAATAGCAGAAAAACAATTTACTATGCTTAAAGTGATTATAATGACAAAGCGATGTTTGAATAGGTGGCTCAAACTGAAACGTTTCATGATAAAATGCACTTTAAAAAAATGAGAGCTCATATCAGCAGGTTGGATAACTAAATTTAAAAATTGTTATGGTATAAGGCAGTTAAAAATTACACGTGAAAAAGCTTCAGCTATTCTGTAGCACCTGAACATTCAATGAACGTACTAACAGCAAAAATTTATCTACAGAATAAATTTATAATACTAACAATATGCCTTTTCTCACAATATGCATTCTAAAATACTTTGCAAGCCTCTGCAGAAAACGTCCTAGTGCATAGGTGGGGAACCTGCGGCCTCTGTGAGGTTCTTGTGCAGCCCTTTGCCACCTAGTACAAAATGGTAGAGTTCGTTTCAAACAACTATTGTACATCAACGCCATGACAGTTGCGCGAAAAATTCTGCCAAAGACAGTCATATTGTAACATGACGTCAGAATACTAGTCTGAACCAGACTCTACACGCATGAGCGGCTCTGGCCCACACTAGCAGTGCCAACTACCTGTCTAAGAAGTAAACAAAACTCGGTTCAGATCTCCCCATTTGAGTGCACACCTTGCTTTGGCTTCTCTGACTCTGCATCTCTCACGCTTCCCTGTTGCGATCTTCAGCTAACTGTAGTTAACATGTGTGGCTTATACAGGTACCCGGTTTATTGTATTCTAGAAACACACTTTGTTAAAGATATTATTTGATATTTGTTTTTTTATCCATCATGTCAATAGTAGAGAGAAAATTAGGTGATGAAAACAGAACATTTAATGTAGAAGGGGAGTTAGATTTTTTCTTTACTGCTGAGAAAGATAAAATATGTGTTTGTTGTGCAATACATTTTTTTAATAATGTTACGAAGAACTACTTGTGTTGGGTACACTAACTGGAAGAACTCGCGGAGCCCCGATATTTTCGAAAACTTCAAAGAAGTATGTAATAATTACAATTGAATGTCAGTATTAGTCAGTGTCTGCACTGGTAGCGGCACCTTCCATGGAGGCAAAAAGAAGGATTCGTTGCTTTGTTAAAAAAGGAAAACTTAAACTTGAAAAAAATTGATATCATTTCACTGCATTTTGCATCAGCAAAATCTTTGCGCAAAATCTACCATTTTGCAAGAAACTCTGAATTAGAACCATCGCCGTTGTCACTATATTCGCATAATAAATGCATCATCGTGAATTTCGGCAGATGCCTCTTAGATGAGGAAACGTATAGTGTTGACCTGCCATACTACTGCAAGGTTCGCTGGCTCACAGGTCAGGTTTTGATAAAGTTTTTGTCTTTACGACGACAAATTTTAACTTTTATAAAGAACAAGGAAAACAATGTGAATCAGATGAAATATTTCTCAGAACCTTGCATTTTTGTCTTTATATGACAAAACCAAAACAATTAAATATTTGCCTGCAAGGTGAAACGGGTTATTTATGAAATGTGGCAAAAGATCCAAGCGTTTGAAAAAATATTTTTCAAAACATTGCTTTGTCGATCGAATATCTGCACAACACTTCCCGGAGCTAGCTAAAATGTTAATGATCAAACTGTGAAATAAAATATTCGATGAATATTAGGTGTCTTGGATGTTTAATAGAAGAGTATACTAATAGATTTTCTGTTTTGACGAGCACACTCCTGCTATGAAACTGGCATTGAACCACATTTAATAGATATATCCGAGCTCCTGCAGAACTACAAAGAATTTAATTGATTTAGGGGAAGATAGTATCATCAAATCCCTTTTTAACACTAAAAAGGATCCCAGAGAATCTGGAAAAATGCTGTTGAATATCCATGCCTTCGAGAACATGCTCGCCATTTACTTTTCCTGCTTCGGAAGTACCTACTGTTGCGAGACAACATTTTTCTCTCATGTCAAAATAAAAACAAATTTAAGAATGCAAATTAAGATGCACATTTAGAGGATCAATTAAAACGGGTGTGTTACGAAGCTTGATCCAAATATACAATTACTGTCAAACAAAAACAAAGCCAAATAAGTCACAACTTAGTGAATAAAAAATATTTTTTATTGTATTTTTTATAATATTTTTATATTATTTTCTTTGTATATTATATTTAAAATTTTGAAGTATATTTTATTTTTTCTATAATGCATAAATTGTTAACTCTATAAAAAATTATAATAATTTCCAAAAGTCACTTTCTTAGTCAATCAGCTTATGCGGCTTCTCTTATTGCTGCCTAATTTAAATGTGGCCTCTAATGGTAAAAAGGTTCCCCACCTCTGTCCTAGTGGATGCAGTGTCAAAGATTCCGAACTGAATATAATGATTTTGGCATATGCAAATGCTGCAGGAACACAAAAATGTAAACTTTTCATAATCAGCAAAATACATCACGTCAGATATTTAAAGCAGTAAAAATTTCCCCAGTTACCTTTTAATCGAATAAAACAACAATTATAACATAAACATTAATGAATGATTAGTTAGAAAATCATTTCACATCCAAGGTTCAGTTGGTTTACTGGATGAAGCAAAAATTGTTCTGATTATAGATAACTGCTTAGCTCAAACTCATTTAAAGTTTAATACATCTCTCATCTTACTCATTATTATAAACTGTGCATCCATAATTCTGCCAAAAGATAATAGAGTGCTTCACACACTGAAATGCAGATATAATGTAGCCCTTTTTAAAATCTATGCTGAAATTCCTAAACTGAGGAAAGACTAAGAATTTTTTAAATATTTTAATAAAATCTGCTATATATAGCATTGCAAGGTCATGGAAGGATGTGACTATAGATATTTTCTTTAATGTTTGGCTACCATATTTTATGGTGATAAATATGATAGCCTTAAATTTAACGGTTTTGGTAAAAGAAGCAGAAGCAAAAGGTTAAATGTTTAAATTAATTGAAATTGTGAAGAAGTTGTGCTGAGAGAAGTAATAATGATTAAAGATTAGACAACAAAAATTTTCCATTGATATGGCAATGCCTCAAATATCTAATGGCCAGCAAAATCCATAGTTTGGTTTTGAATCCATATAATATCACTACAGTGAAGAAAGTGATCAAAAATTTCAATTATCAGTTTAGTGGGAATTCCCCACATAGCAGTTACAGGATTTGAATGATGGAACTTCGTAAACAAAAATTTAAGTCTATTTATAAAATTAAAGTATCAGCACAAAAAACAAAACAGCTTAAATAACTTACATTAAAAGAAATGTACAAATGCTGAGCTTTTTTTTTTTTTTTTTTTCCAAATTTTGATTCTCTTAAGGTTTTAAATGCTTAATTATTTTATAAGCAGCTGTTTCATATCTTTTATTTCTACATGTCATCTTACTACATTTAAACTGATATAAAATCCCGAAATTTCCAAAATGAGGAATCACCAAAATCCCAATGATTCTGAATCTCGGAGTTTGTACTGTACTATATTTACACGAAAATAAGATTCCCTCATATACAAGACTTTTCTTACGTTTAAAATAAATTTTAAGAAATAAAACTGTAGGTGAATATTTATTTTGTGTTGCAGTAATTCTGCAAGACAATCTTGTATTATTCCTTCCTTTAGAATTTCTTAAAATAACAATACACTTAGGAACAGTCCATGGATTCATCCTTCAGGAAGATTTAGTGACACGTTACTTTTTTTTTTTTTTCAGACATACCAGTAATCACTACAATGAATGCAGGTCTAAAATGAAATTACTCGGCTACACATGGCTATGATAATTAGAAGCAGTTACATAACTTATACATATAGTAACTGACAGTGTGCTTTATTTACTATTTAAATAGGGTAATGAATTTATAAGCTGTGATAACTGAACTCCTGAAGTGAATTCTAATATGTTGCTTCTGCTATTATGAAGCTTTGCCGCCATCCCTGCATTAGACTGCAAATAATACAGTTAACTTTGTACATTTTATAAGTACTACAAATCTGAACATCCAACTGTTGAATAAAAATTATAAATATGAAAAAATGAATGAATAAAAAGAATTTAGTTGATCATTAAATTTTCACTCAAACAATACACAAAGCATGCAGCAATCACACAGATGGCACAAGAACAAACCTATGCAACCAAGGCATTCGCACCGGGTAACAAAATTGGGGGACGGCAAAATTTTTAGAATTCAGTGAGCAGCAGAATTTAACAGCCAAAGAGAGTGAACAGGACATCAAAATGTGTAGCATTATCCCTGGTCAATTATACATATATTTAGTTTCTGAATGCTATCAAAAGTACTTTTCCCATTACATAATATTGTTCATGACAACTTCCGATAAATATCTTCTTAGTTTTTCTAAAAAACAGTCTATTCCAGTATCATACCGAATGAAAAGGTGGAGAATAAAATTATACAAACTTCTTAATACACAGGATGTAAGCTGCGACACACACATTTTTTTTTTTTTGAAAATTCAAAATACTTCAGAAACATTACAAATGACGCATTATAAAATTATTAGTTTTCAATAATTTTATTAGCATTATGTTTGTTTTAGAAAACATGAAAATACATATAAAATTAATGAGAACTTCACACACTCCAAGCCAACATTAGTCAATAATATCACAAAAAGCCTCAGATGAATTATCAGAATCATCATTTTTTTAAAAATTTAGATATGCACCACATTCACACCAGTTGACAGCATTTTTATATATTAATCAAAAATTGCTTTATGCTATTATAACAGGAAATTACATTTTTATAATTCTCAAATTGTATTAACACAATATTTATTCAATACAGAAAAGACACAACATACAGACGTATATTTAATGTTTATAATTACGCTATTTATACATAAACTTCACCTGAATCAAACGACATTATGCTGTCAAATGACACTTGATTATTCAGTAGTAAAAATCGATTTTACAGACTTTTAAAGCTAATTTCCACTACGTGATGCAGTTATTCATGCAACTCGCTAGATAAATAAGTACTACGGAAACAAGGTGAACTTGATTTTTTAGCCCGAAGTGTGTAGGCGTGAGACATCCAACGTTTCTCAAACTCCGCGATAAAACTACTGAGCATAAGAATGACCCATAGATTAGTATTACTATATCTATGGAATGACCACGCTGAGACGTTATATTCTTCTACAAATTAATTACATTCCTATAAATTATTGATTTATATGAGTGACTTTATTACAGTTTAAGTCTCGCATGCTTAACAGATAAGAAATCAACACTGTTTCTTAGAGAACTAAAAAATTCATATTCGAATTCTGTTAACCAAAGATTTGAAAGCCGACGGGCATTTATTACGATTTTAAAAAGTTCATTTTCAAAAAGTATCAAAGTCTATTTTAAAGATATTTTAAAACTCTTTCACACTAGCGAAACTTTTCCCTTAAGAACCGCACTCTAACTCGATAACTTCTCTTAACCTAAACCAAGCAGCTAGTTTGAAAGAAAATTTAAGCTATTTTACGTATGACTACAAGTTGGAGAAATTTAATTCCAAATAAATGAGCTGAAATGTTTTGTTGTTCCTAGTATTGGAAACTAGCACAAGAATCGCACGGAATCTCGTGACTTTCATCTTTTTCAGGTAGCCAACTTTCATTCCTCTTCATCATTACTTTTGTCTGCTAGAATTGTGAAACCATTTTTAGTTTTCAGAGATGAATCAGAAATGATGTCAGTCGGGAGCAAGGCCAACTAGATATCTAGTTGGAGGCTGTCAACTTTTATCTGTTTCTTCCAGTCATTGGGAAAGTAGCACTTTACCTTGCATGGGTATTTAATCTGAGGATAAAACACTTTACATGTCTTTCACGTATAGAATCCTTAAATGCGGATCAATAGATCTGCACTTTTGCGACACAAAATTTTATCTTTTCAAGCTCTGAATTTCAGCTTCCAGCATACCATATATAATTTTTAAATGAAATTCCGACCGAATGCCAGTACAACTCTTCCAAAAAAGCTCGCCATAGAAGTTCCTCCTAAATAAGGAGCTACTAAAGCTCCAATAGAGGTAATCTCAGGTAGCTCTAGGAGCTACTAGCCATGGCCTTTGTAAATTCAAGGAGTACTGATGAAATAGGGCGAATTCAGCTCAATTTGTTATCGAATTTGAAACAGAAACTGCCAGTGTTCAGTGTTTTTAATCTTTTAATCCCTTTGCTGTTTATTAATTAATTATCTCTGAGCCGCCTTAGCCATAGTTGTTACTTATTTAGCACCACCCAGGAAGCAAGTGTGAATTAAGGATATCACGGAGAAATTAATGGATACTCTTAAATCTGACCAGGCAGCAAAATCAACAAGCAAATCCTGGGCTAACATTCAAGACACATAGGAAATTCAAAAACCTGGTAAAGAGTCTGTGGCAAACTTCAGGCTGCAAACAAGTCACAATTGCATGGCATATCATCTTAATAAAATTGGCATCCTTCCGTCTAATGTATGTCAAAATCTCAGAAACGGTAACTGGAGTCGTGAAATTTAGCGAGCGTCCGCTAAGATAAGATAGTTATTTACGCTGCTTGTCGTGAAAGGGCCCTTTATTGGAATGCTAAAGCTTTCATGAACTCTTCTTGTGGAACGGTGTTTGATCACCACCGACTCTACTTAGAGATGGTGTTGGTTTGATACACCTGGATGCCTAAGCTGTCGTTTTACTCCAAACAGAACATAGTTGAAAGTTGCGAAATATTTCAGAAAGTAACTTGAAAGTAACTTTCAGACTTTGAAAATAACTTTTAGAAAGTAACTCTATTTCAAAGTTTCAAAGTTAGGATTTTTTTTAATTTTAAATTTTGAAGAGATTCACGCACTATAAATTCAAGCCTCAAAGCTGTCTAACTGAATCTCTTTAATGAACTCCTTATAAAGACTACATCTCATATGTTTCTTTCTTTGTTGTTGAAATTTTTAACTTTTTACTTTTGTTCCTATGCTCATTTATTCTGATTCTTAATTTATAAATATATATTTTTTTTATTATTTATCAGTGTTCTTGTGTGATACTTGAGCTGTTTTACATGTTTGCATTGATCTTTCCATTAAAGCCATATGCAACAACATTTACTTGACTATTATTTAATCTCTTCGCTGGTTATTAGTCTTCTCATGATGAATAATGTAGAAAATAATGATATAACAGGTTTTTTTATTTCTGGAGATTTTAGAAAAATAATAACTTTAACTTTTTCGTGTGTCCGTAAGGAATCGTAATCGATAGGTTTCATATAAGTTTGCAGAGTGAACGACGTGTGGCCGTAGTGTTTTAAATGAATGTGTTTGTCGGTGTCGATGTTTGTAAATGTTTCCATCTGTTCATTTTATTACGAATTGAAATTTCTCACTTGAATGCTGAATCATATGAAGTATCTTAATATTTAGTGCATAACTTGTACTAGACCATTATATTCAAAGCACCTGATTGTATAATTTTTGTGAATACTCATATGTACATATGTGAATTTTAGAATTGATGTAAGAAATTATGGGTAAAGATAAAAAGCAAAAGAAGAACCCCCAGGAAGAAAAAGAAAAGTGAGTTATCAGAATTGTAACGTATGCTGTATTGTGAAATTGATCACATTAGACACAATATGTTAATCCGATTGTCACTCTTTTCCTATTTAACCAGATTTTTCTTTATTGTATCACAATTTTGTTAATGTCTGGCTTTTTTTTTACTTATAAGTATGTATCTTTTTCATGTGGGTTGCTGTGAATTTCTAAATTGGAATTTCGCTGTTACAATGACAATTTCAAACGCGTGCTATTGATGTGCAGTTGATCCCTGAAAGATCATGTTTAAGCTGCGCGGGTCCGCTTTTATGTTGATGGAATATTAATGAATTATATTTATAAGCTTTGGAGAATAGGAAAAAACCACCTAGTCTACCAAAATTTAAAAAAATTAAGAAATAATGAATTAGCTATGCCGTAAATGTATAATGTGAGCATAGCTAGTAATCTGTTTTGTAATTTACATCTTTAGAATTATTATAAAAAGGTTTTCAAAATCCTAACATGCGAATACGTGCCTATTTTATCTGGTATAATTTGTAGTGCTAGGAAATGTGATGAAATATAAAACTATAACATTAAGACATATGGGTACATAAAAATATACTTATGGGTACTACTTGGCGGTACATGGACACCAAGTTTGTGCAATTCTTTGACTGTGCCAAAGTAACAAGTCAAAGACTTGCACAAACTCGCACATCGACCTAGTTTCACTTGAAAAGAATCATCAGAGAATTGCACAAACTAGGCATTGCACACTCCCTTGACGTTACCCATGTACGTATCGATCTATACTCACTTAAAAAGTCAAAGGAGCAGCCAACAAAAAATATATCTCAATAAACTACATTTTAAATCAAACAATGAAATGACATAAAAAAGGAAAGTTATCGGTTAATCTTTGGACTATAGTAACAGGTAGTTTAGCGACATTTTGGTAAGGCGATAAAAGTTACTAGATAGGACTTTAGCAGTATACATGGATAAAGTCAAGAGTGTGTGCAATGCAATTCTGGGATGTTTTTTTAAGTGAAAATGGGTCGACGTGTACATGGATACTGTGTATGTGCAATTCTTAAAAACGTGGCAAGCAGTGGGCGATTCTGCACTTTCTCCCAATTTCGCACCTAATCTTCGTCATGGTTAAGCACTTTTGTTCCATAAAAGTTCTATCATAAGCGTAATTCGGCTAGCAGATTGTTAGAAAAAATGTTGAGTTAAAAAAAAAATGCCTTTACTTTGTGAAAACAAAATGGCGTCCAAAAAAAACTAGCAAGTTGCTGTAGCAGGGTTGGTTGCCAAATTTTCGCCAAAAAATCGCCAAGTTACCATAATCCAAAGATTAACCAAGTTATCATAACACTACACAAAGGAAATATCCATTTACCTTATTTACAGATTTTCGTGTCTTTAGTCAAAAAAAAAAAAAAAAAAAAAAAAATTCCTTAACAGCATCCAAAAACTTTCTAAAATTATCTCAACTAGAATCTGTATACTGGCACCACCACAGAAATTCACAAAAATAAGAGTGAAAAATATCCTCCGTAGTGCTGGTATCCTCCGACGTTCGACTACACGCATTTCCTTCCTACAAGCAGGACACTTATAATGACTACTAAGTAAACCTTCATTTACACACCAGTCAAGTAATGCTTTTTTTTCCCTTTCATTCCAAATTGTACAGAAACTTCAAATTAATCTTACCACAGTTAGCCATTTTACTTAGGAAATTACAAATTAATTATGTACTTCTTATTGAGTCTGACACACAAACAAGCCTTTCCAAATCTTTTCCCATCATTCAAATTCACTGCAATCATGTAACCAATTAACATCATAATAGGGTTTTCATAGCATTCAACTACTCAGGTTACCATAAATAAAACAGCGATAATCCAAGGGGCACCCTTAAATCTACTCTAACCCACTGTTGTAATAATTTTGCAGTAATTTTCTGGTACTATCATTGTAGTGAATGTATGTATTGCAAATCTTTGTTTACAATACTGATCTTCTCCACATTAGTAGTCACATAGCCTTAAGTTGGGTGTTGCTGTAAAATGCAATTTTTATTCGAGGGATATTTTTATTATGTTGCTTCAGAACTGTAAATCTCGCACTACTACATGGTACATAACACACTGTCATTATTGGGCTAGATTCCAAGATTCATAGGAAAGTTGTTTCAAGAAAAAGATGAATTTTGCTTGATATAGTTTTACAGATTATTAAATATAAATTCATAGATACATTTAGTTGAGTTTTGATTGATATTTATGTATATATTTCATACATATATTTAGAATATTTGAACAATCTAATTTTATAGATGTATTTAATGTGTATAATTTAATAAATGTATTTTAATGAAGCAGTATTTCAACTATGTTGTTATAAATAGGACTTAATACTGTATACCTTAAAAAATTGATTTTAATTGTTACTACATAAAAGCGTGTACTTTTCTGATTATCTGCACCTCGTCTCAAAATTGTAAATGTTTAAATTAAATGTAAAAAGTGGTAAATGTTTAAAAAAATCTGAGGAAAAAGAAATCTTTATGGCTATTATTTTTACAATTGATAGATATTATTCAGTGAAATGATGGTTAAATATAATGCATGCCAATTCACATATATTCAACATATTTGTGGTATGCTGATGTATGGGTTGGCTATTTGTTTCTTACATGTAATTCAAAGATATGCCAAAAATTTAAAAAATCCTTTCACATATTAGAACCAGAGATGCATATAGTCAAAAAAACATTTCCAAATTGAATTTAGGCAAGAATTCCCTTATGCTTTGTATAATATATGGAACACATAGTTTTAGTTTAATGCATAACATATAAATACGTGCACCAAACAAAAATGTTCATTTAGGATCTCGTAAATTGGTAGTTACATTAATAACCCTTTAAATTGGTAGTTACGTTTTTTAAGGGAAGAAAACTACATGTTTTTGCCCTCTTTGACTGTCCCAGAAATAAACGAATCTGCCTTCTGTGTTAGTCCGTGGCCTTCGAGATAACATGGCCTGGTTAGCTACGAGTGACGTCACGAAAGGCGTCTGATCCTTCCGTGACTTTCTTTGCTTCAGATTTAATACAGCGGTCGTTCGCTGTTTAGAGTGTTTTGTTTTTATATGCTAATATACATTTCCAGCGACTTTACGGAACCGTATATAAGGTCGTAATCATTTCAGTTAAGATTAATAAATATTATTTTTAAAAATATTAAGAATTTTCTATGCCATGTTTAGGTAGCTTGTGCATTTTTTTTACACTGTATTGTAATAATGTGTTAGGATACACTCAAAAAAAAGTTTGAAAATATAAAAAGCTGTTATTATGAACATAAAAATTCTTTACAGTTTGAGAAGGAGAGGAATGAAAGGAATGAAAAGATTTAGAAATAAATAATTCACTAACAAATAAATATAATTTAGGCAAATTAAAAGACATAAAATTATTTTCCTTAAACTATAAATATTCAAGCTTCCAAACATTATGAAATGCTTTTTATTCATTTAAATTACTATCTAGTAAAAGAATAGCGTTCAAAAGCACAGAAAAAAAAAATACCCAATTTTAAATTAAATAAATTACATTTTGCTGCACCATTACGAAACGAATAATTTTCATATATTTTATGTGATCTATAGCATAATTATATAATTTACTTATTCTTATAGTAGATGCAAATACATAAATATTTACAAAAAAAGCCATCCAGTAAGTTTGGCGAGCGTAAAATCAATAATGTGGCCAACGAAAACCGCAAACAACTATACATAGAACAAACCACATTCTGTCTAATTAGCAAAAGTTCAAGCTTACTAGTTACGAAGCAATAATTATCGCAATTGATAATTATTTTAAAATTATGAATATATCAAATAATAAGGAACAGCAAAAGGATATAAATTTAAATGTAAAAGATACATATTGAAAATATATTTGAACTGCATCATACACTATTTAAAAAATAAACAATTCATTACATACTCATACGTTTCACCACGTATTCTGACTTTTTAAAGTTTCCTTTCAGCGTTTTGTATGCATTATTTTGAAGAACGGAGTATAATTTTTAAACAAATTTTGAAAGGTGCTCTTATTTTTTTTATCGCGGAAAAGGGAATTCCACACATTAAACAATTCATGAACCCAACTGTTATGTTTGACATGTACTCGGTAAGTTGACCATAAGAATGCGCACTTCTTTACTGGTTCTTCTTACTTTTAACTGAACAACTCTCTCCTAGATAAACTGCTTATTCATATGAAGTGATACAAGATACTTTTCTCATTTTAGGATGTGGATGAAAACTGGCAATAAAATATAATACCAGCAGCAGATTTGGGAAAATAATATTTGAAGTATCTGAAATATTTAACTTATTCGGTAACAAAGAAAAATCCGCAAATGATGCTATTTTTCCTTTCTCAAAAATTCATTAAATATGCTTCTCCATCTTAGGTTTTTCCTCCCTGCTCATCCTCTGAGGGGTTGGACTTTCAGATAAGTTTTTGGACAACCAGAAAACTGCATGGTAAGCATCGTATTTAATAGGATGCCTTCTGCACATCTATAAAAGTACCTTTGTTTGTTGGATATCATAGCGAATAATATCATCTTTCGAAAATTTTTTTCACACACAACGCTCGATCACTTGGATAAAATTTTCCGTGGAATTTTTTTGATCCATAAATCCCGTTTACCGTATTTTTTGAATTTGATACTTATTCATTGGTGAAATCGAATTGGATTTGCATGCGGGAACGCAACATCGGCAGGTATATAAGACAGCTCTACATAGACGTCAATCGTTATTCTTGTACAAAGTTAACTAGTAATCTCAATTTAAAAATAAAATATCTTAAAACATTACTTAAATTTAGCAATAAAAAGACATGAATAAAAAAAATACAGCACGCATCAACGTATAGAAGTCTTCGCTCATTGTCCACACAATGCAGTGCGAAGGGTGAAAGTTCAGACGCCTTGCGT